TAAGTTTAATTTGAGGTGTATTCAAGCATTCAAAGGCCTAGGTAATTATTTCACTATTAAGTAGAAAATATAAATCACAACCAAAAATTAAAATCGAAAAGCTCTTAGAGAGAAAAAAAAAAGTTTAAATCGAGAGAGGGAGAAGCAAAAGTATACTCTCGGTGAGGAACATAATTGGTATATATGGGGATGTATAAAATAATCAAAAAACTCAACCGAACTGTAAATCGAACTGAATTGCACTTTAAATAACAGATTTTTAAAGAACTAATTCATGAACTAAACCAGTTTTTAAAGAATCAGTTCATGAATCGAACCAAATTTTTTTGAACTGTTTTCGAACCGAACCAAACTGTTTGCAAATCTAACCGAATCGATTTTTATTATTTTTTTCTTTAATTTTTATTTTTTTTTCTTTTCAGAATAAGATCGACCCGAACCGATTCTGAATCGAATCATTTCTGAACTGAACCAAATCGATTTTGAACCAAATAGTTTTCAAACTGAACCATTTAAACTAATTCGATTCAATTTTTAAAAAAATTCAGTTCTATTCGAGTCATATAAATACTTAAATATACGTAACAAAGAGAATAAAGAAGAAGTGATGCCAATAACTAAGTACATATACTGCAAAGCAACTCGGAATTTTGGCGTCAGCATCCGCAAAAACCTCTTCGCTCCTCTTGTTGTTTTCCTTTTTTCTTCCTGCAACCTTCAATTCCGTTACAAGGAAAATAATTTTAATATGCTCGTAACATTAAATATTGAGTATAATATTTATAAAATTTTAAAAATATTAAATAGTAACATTGTTTTTTTAGTATTATATTATATTCATTCTTTAGGCTTGATGTTAAGTGGATCTCACTTTTTTTAACTTTAAATAAATAAATACTTACTTTTTTTCAATAAATATATGCTTCCAAGTTCCACCAAGGTTCTGTCAAAAACTGTTCTCATCCTTCCTCATCTACCGTGTCATTGGGTATTTTTTTACATTTGATTTATAATTAAATATTTTTTTATTAAAAAATTTAAAACATTATAATAAGAATATTTTTAGTATTTAAGGAAATAGATAATACATCATCTATTCATAATTTATTTAAGTGATAAATTTAAAATTATATGGGTTAATGTGTTAAGTGATTCAAGCGGGATAATTTAATAAAGAGTGAAACTAAAATTTTTCCTATTTAAAATACAAAACCAGATGAGATAGCATTGCAAGAATCTGTAATCTAATGGCATGATGCAATTAAATTTTTTAAAACTTACATAATCCAATTATAAGATTTTAAAAAGGGATAACTTTATTTTCATCCAACGTGATTATATGATTTATCACTTGACCCCTATGCTTTTGAAGTTGTCATTTAGACCCATTGTGATTAGAAAAATTTATTATTTAAACCCTTGTGATTTCAAAGTATCACGTATACGGTATACCCCTTATTAGGGTGTTAACGGACCGAGCCGAGCCGAACTTTGGTCTTAAAAAGCTAATCCTGTGTTTAAATGTGTCAGCTTGACCAAGCCTGTTATCTGTTATGAATATAATTATCGGCCTTTGATTTGATTTATTTACAAAAAAATAAAAGCCTGATTTAGCCTATTTTAAAAAAAACAAGACAACAAAAAATTATCCAAATATAATATACAATCAACAACACTAATAATTTCATATATATTCATAATTCCATATATATCATTGAAAAAGTTTGTTTAACCAATAAAATGGGTGAAATGGATTGAGGAGAGAGAAAATGTTATTACAAGTAGTATAAAAAATAAAATAAAAAAAATTAATATACTAGGCCAGCTTGAGAGGCTCTAAGGCCGAGCTTTTAAATTGGAGCCTGAGGTCTTTTTATTAAACGAGATTTTATACAAATTCAATCCTGGTTTTAACAACCAATTGTAGACATGTAAGTTCAGGCCTTCACGAGTCAAGTCAAAGGTCCCTGGTTCATTTACCACCCCTACCCCTTATGGTCTTTTATATACGCACACACACACATACACGTACATACATACATACCACCCCACCCCACCCCTAAGTGATATATTTTTGTTGCCATGATGGGTGTAAGTGAGTGTTTAAAATCAATGACGTTAAATGATAAACTTATTTAACCACAATGAGTATGAATGACAAATTTGAAACCATAAGAAGTTAAGTGATACACCATTAAACCAATGATAAATTTGAAACCATAAGAAGTTAAGTGGTACACCATTAAACCACAAGGGCTGAAAATAAAGTTTTCCCTTTTAAAAAACACAAACCTAATTAAAGTCCCTAAATAATATAGACTTATTGCTTAATTTAACCTTAAGTCCTTAACAAAAATATAGAAACGAGTAGAAAGATGATAATATTTTCATGAAGTTAATGAATGTATGTCGGGAAAAAATGTATTTTTTTTAGAGACAATGGGAAACTAAAACAGAACAAAACAAAAAACAAAGCACTATCCAGGAGAAGCCATGTGAGTAAGAGGCAAGAAAGTTTGCCACTCTATTCCGTTCGTGATGGATGTTAGACATACGGACACACCAACAACGATGTAACATGTTTCTAATACGTTGCACCAAGTTTGCTGTAGGATTAACAAGATGACACCCATTCATTATAATCTGCTAGGATGATAGGGAATCTCCTTCCAATCACACTTGTATAAATCCTTTATCCCAAGCTAACTGCAAACCCACCAAATAAACCCAAAGTTCAGCATGCAAGACAGTACCTGATCCTAAGTTTTTACAGAAATCGAAAATCCAAGCTCCAGAGGGTCACATATGACACCACCACACCCGGACCTGTTACCAGTTTTGGCCCCATCAACATTTAGCTTGACCGGGGGACAAGACCAAGCAATCATCCTCTCCACTCGATCTCTTGGCTGAAGCCCCGCTACATGAAAGGTAGATGCTGCTAGAACAACACTATCAAGGAACCCCAAAACTAAACGAAAAGTTGAGAAGACATTTTGGTATTTTCCTTCAAAGATCCATTTGTTTCTGTACCTCCAAATACTCTAGGCAAGAATTCCAAATAAAAGGGTAACAAAAATATAGAAACGAGTAATCAATGTTAAATTTTATAAATTTAATGAAAGATGATAATATTTTCATGAAGTTAAGGAATGTATGTTGGGAAAAATGTATTTTCTAAACTAAATGTTTTTGAAAGTATCTATTTATAATCAAGGCATGTAACTAGCATCAAAGAAGGCAGCGGCGGACCCACACTATTGCAAGTGTGGGCACTTGCAGACACAAGTTTTGGGGATTTTTTTTTTGCTAAGGATTAAGGGGTGATTTGAATAACTCATAATGTAAAATATGCCAAGGTTAAAATTAGTGTTAAGGACACATGAAAAAGCAAGGAATGCACATTTGGTTGTTGGCTAGTGTGCTGTTGGAAATGTCTCGCCATGCACCTTTTAGGTATAAAGTTGGCTTTACAATAAAAAATATTGAAACTTATTGGAGTTTCTATGAATTGTTGTACAACTCATAATGTAAAATTTTTTACCCTCACTTGTGATATATAATTATATTTAATATTGAAATAATAATAAAAAATAGGACAAGATTATTTTGCATAGCTATACAAATAAAAATCTTAACAAATAATCATTGCTTGAAATTATAATTGCTTAGTTGACTTTTGATTATTATTTTTTATGTTAAGTTGAAGTTTTCTTTTCTTTTCTTTTTTTGTTTTTTAATGCATTTAAAAAATTCAACGCCACTAAATTTGCAGACATAAATAAAATTTTCTTGGTCCGCCACTGAAAGAAGGCAATGATATTTATTAGGGGGGTGACAATTCAGTTGGTATGATACAATATGTATTTAATATAAACACGATACAAATTTGAAAATAGATCAAAACTTTTGATATAAACATAATTCGTTTATTTTGTGGGTTGATACTACAGGACAAACTCATCAATTTTAAAGTGTGTTGCTTATTATGCAAATTGACATGATATGATATTAAAGAATAATCTATAAACCTTAAAGTGTGTCACTAATTACGTGGATTGACACAATACAAGACAATACGAATAACCTATAAGAAGATTAATCTATATCAATTTCGTATTTAGCGATTAACACGTGACGGTGGTAACGTGACACCAATTTTTTTCGTATTAGTTTTTACTAACATAAATTTAAAAATGAGTCCTACTGAATATGAATTTCTTATGTTGTATTTGTGTAGTATCTGTGAGCTTTAAAAATTGATGCTCTTATATTTACTCATCTTGAAGAAATCTCATTTTTTTTAAGCCTTATTTTTTTTTAGTAAATAAATTGCATTTTTTTTAACCTTTTTAAAATTCCTTTTTTTTAAGCCTTTACCAACAAATGAATTGTAATTAAATTATGAGTTCGTTTTTTCTGCGGGGAACAACAGCTGGAAACGACGGCTAATACCCCATAGGCTGAGGAGCAAAAGGAGGAATCCGCCCGAGGAGGGGCTCGCGTCTGATTAGCTAGTTGGTGAGGCAATAGCTTATCAAGGCGATGATCGGTAGAGGATGATCAGCCACACTGGGACTGAGACACGGCCCAGACTCCTACGCGAGGCAGCAGTGGGGAATTTTTCGCAATGGGCGAAAGCCTGACAGAGTAATGCCGCGTGGAGGTAGTAAATGCAGATAAGTTATCTACATTGAACCCAAAATAATGTCGTTTTGGGACAGAAAGTAAGGTATTTTTGTAATTTTAATTTATTTCAAGATTATAATAATCTTTATAAATATAATTTTTTAATATTTCAATACTAAAACGACATCGTTTTGGTGTAAATATAAATAACTTAACTTCATAAACATTTTTTGTTAAATTAAATTAAATATTGTGTATATTGAGACCTGGATTAGTACTAAGGTGGAGAAAGGAAAGCCCCCCCTTGAACAGCTTGTGGTTTGGGTCTCCCCGTTCCAAAACTAGACTTCACACACAACACTTGTGTTATACAATACAGCCTTTACCCACTGGAAATAGACCCTCCCACAGAGAGAGAGAGAGGGGTTTGGGTGTTGGATCTCATATTCTAAGATATATTAGAGAGTAATGGGTATGGAGGAGGAGACTAGCAGTGCTAGCATTGAGGGTGGTGCTTCGCTACCTTCGGGTCCTGACGCAAAAAAACGCAGGGTCACCTACTTTTACGAACCCACAATCGGCGATTACTACTATGGTCAAGGTCACCCTATGAAACCCCACCGTGTACGCATGGCACACAACCTCATCGTCCACTACTCCCTCCACCGTCGAATGGAGATCAACCGCCCCTTCCCCGCCGCCCCCGAAGACATTCGCCGATTCCACTCCGACGACTACGTCGACTTCCTCTCCTCCGTCTCCCCTGAGACCCTCACCGAGACCACCTACTCCCGCCAGCTCAAGCGCTTCAACGTCGGCGAGGACTGTCCCATCTTTGACGGCCTCTTCAATTTCTGCCAGGCCTCCGCTGGCGGCTCCATCGGCGCCGCCGTCAAGCTTAACCGTGGAGACGCCGACATCGCCATCAATTGGGCTGGTGGTTTGCACCATGCTAAGAAGTCTGAAGCTTCTGGCTTCTGTTACGTCAACGACATTGTTCTCGGTATCCTCGAACTTCTCAAAGTTCACAGGGTAACTCTTTTTTTTTTTTTTTTTTTTTTTTTTTTGGGTTAGTTGTTGTACATGTTTTCTAGTTTAGACTCATTTATAGTATGTTTCTTTTTTACCATTCATGGTTGCCAAAATTGCATTGGCTCCCCAGACATGATTCTATATTTGATTTTACATGTCAAACATGAGAACAAACTGGAATTGAATAAAAGCTCATTTTTTTCCTAGTCCAATCAAATAGTATAATGGAAATGACCATTCCATGAGCATTTTGATTTTGATTCCAAAGATATCACTTCAGCATGCCAACTGTGCTTAATAAGAAACATTCTGGTGGCAAAATTTATTGGGAAGCTGTATTTTGATGCTTGTTTGACATGTGGTTAGAGTTAAGATTCGATTAGTCTTGCCATTTCTCCTTTTTGGTGTCAACTTTCGCACATTGGCAATGGCAGAGCCAGGTGATTTTGTATCAGGGAGCGAAATCACAACATATATTATTCTTTGTATGTACAAAAAAATAGAAATAATGTCTACAACTAAAGGCTTCTATAAGTTTTTTTTTTTGGTGGGGGGTGACCAAAAACCTAGATATAGTTCTCATAGTTAAAGGCTTGTATGAACTTGGAGGGGGTGATCGTTCACCCTAGCCCCCTCCCTCTCTCCACCTCTGCACCTTGGTCTATTCAATTTTTTTATAGTTCTTCTGTGTAAAAATCAAATATATTTTTCTACTTATACAGAAACTCTATTGCTAACATGAGTTCTTGTTTTGTTATTTATATCATGTATTTTCTTCCTTTCCTGAATGAATTAATTGTTCTTGCTGTATGTTCTGTGTTACTGGACAGCGTGTGCTGTATGTCGACATTGATGTTCACCATGGTGATGGTGTTGAGGAGGCCTTTTACACAACTGATAGAGTGATGACGGTGTCTTTTCACAAGTTTGGTGACTTTTTCCCGGGCACTGGACACATTAAAGATGTTGGGGTGGGCTCAGGAAAAAATTATGCTGTCAATGTCCCATTAAATGATGGAATGGATGATGAGAGTTTCCGTGGTCTGTTCCGAACCATCATTCAAAAAGTCATGGAGGTTTATCAACCTGATGCAGTTGTTCTTCAATGTGGAGCTGATTCGTTGTCTGGTGACAGGTTGGGTTGCTTCAACTTGTCTGTGAAAGGTCATGCAGATTGCCTTCGTTTCCTTAGATCTTTCAATGTTCCCCTATTGCTCTTGGGGGGCGGAGGATATACTATTCGGAATGTTGCTCGTTGTTGGTGTTATGAGGTTCCTTTCTCTATCTTCTTGGGCAAGATTATAATGTGATTTGGTTCTAGTTTAATTTTACTTATTTGGATACATGCTCTTTCTCTGTTTTAGACAGCAGTGGCAGTAGGAGTGGAGCCTGATAATAAGTTGCCTTATAATGAATATTATGAGTATTTTGGCCCAGATTATACTCTCTGTGTAGATCCAAGCAACATGGAGAATCTAAACACACCGAAGGATATGGAAAAAATAAGGTTTTTTCACTATTAATTCTTTTTGGTTGAATTAAAATTAATGATTCTCTGATTAATTTTAGAGTAAAACCCATTTTGGGTCCCTAACAAAAAAATGGTCTCCACTTTCATCCCTTAAAAAAAAAGTCAACTTTTGGTCCCTCTACAATTCCAGTTCTTTGAAAATGTGGTCCCTCAGAAATTCGATGAAGACCCAATTTAGTCCCTAAAAAAGAACTAATATGAGTATTTTTTTTTTGTAAGGGACAAAAGTGGGGACCGTATTTTTTGTTAGGGACCCAATAGGTGGCTTTACTCTTAATTTTATTTCTCTCATAATCATGGGGAAAAAATAACAGTCTTAAGTATATAAATATAATTACTTAAATGCATCCCATTTTGCTGCATCCAAGTCGCATCCTTTCTGCAAATGATAATGTTTTCAGAATCTTATGAATAGTTGCATGGACATGCTATAGTTTGTACCTGGAATTGTTGTTTTCATGTTGGTTGTGAAGACATATTGTATTGTTTAGACATAAAATATTAGTAAGGCTGCCATCCAAGTTGTGTCTCTGTATGTGTCAGAGGCCAGGGACTGAACTTGTCAGAATTTAAGCTTCCATTGTGTCATGCATATAGTGTACACTTGCCCTTTCTAATTTGGGAAGAGGGGGAAGAGTTGGTTATTAGATGTACTCGTTTTATGGATAATCCTTTACGTAGAAAGGACGATCACTGCTGTATTGAGTGCTATTCTGTTCTGTCTAGCATGGAGCTTTATGTGTATGCTGCTGTGATCTGTCTAACAAGGAAGATCACGCATGTTTGAATGAAGGATTTTCTGTTCATTCTCATTTCGTGTGTTACTTTTGCTGCTGTGATGATTGCTACCATTTCCCTGGAGCATGTAGTTTTAAATGGATTTTTTTTTTTAAATTAAATTTCAAGGAACACACTACTAGAACAGATTTCCCGACTTCCCCATGCTCCCAGTGCACCTTTCCAGGCAACACCATCAACCTTGGAAGTTCCAGAACAGGTCTGTACTTAGTAACATTTGCGATTATTGTCACTCTGCCTTTCTCTTCTTTTTGATTGATTTTATTAAGTATGGATTCAGGCTGAAGAGGACATGGATAAAAGACCGAAACGTCGTAAATGGAATGGTGAAGATTATGATTCTGATTATGATGAAGATGAAAAGACTATTTCTAAATTCCCAAAATTAACTGTCCATATGAGGTAACGGTTATGTTTTGTTTTGAAGCTGAATATAAATCCATTTAGTTTGCAAGATCTTTTATTCAGTAGGTATAATGTGGGTCTATCCCTGACACTATAACCTTTGTGACTCCATCTAGCCTGATAAATGCTCTAGACTCACTCTAGAGTCTGTTTAAATGCAATTTATTTATTTATTTATTTTGGTTAAATTTAAATGCAATTTTTGTTTAGACAATGCAGCACACTTTACTCGTTAAGCTATTACACAAATTTCTTTTTAGCCGCTTCAAATAAATTTAATAATCATTTGGCTCCTTTTCGTGAAATGCTAAGTAATATACTCTCTTTGCTGCAGGGATGTCGCAGATGACATGGAAGAAGAGAAGCCAAAAGTGCATCCATCATCTTGACGCTGATAGAACAGAGCAAGTTCTTGCACAGCATGCTTTTATTGTAATATTCAACGTGAATTTTTCTGTTTGTGGGGGAGGTCATACCTTCGAGTTATATAATAGGATTTTATAAGAGTTATGTTGTAGGAAAAGTGATTGTGTAATGTTATAGAGATTCGTTTTGCGTACCATAATTTATTTTTTTTCTTTTTTCTTCAAAAAGTGTGGGCTCCATAAAATGTTGTTTGTGTAGGAAAGTTTGTTGTGTCATGACTCATGTTAAATGACAAATGTAAACTCCTATATAATATTACATAAACAACTCTTGAGAACGCCAATATAATGTCAACTGATCAAATTATGCAGATGTAATATAGAGTAAAACACTGTTTTTGTCCCCCACGTAAGCATAATTTTTATTATTCAATCAGAGTAATTTTCTTTCATTTTGGCCCCCGGTCCCAATTAGATGCTCTAATTCTTTTATTTTGATCATTCGCATTTGTACTTACTTTCATTCGGTCACTTGGAGCCATCATTTTGGTTAATCGTAGATATTGTCACTTGAAGTTTGGTCCTTGTATCTTTCTTCCACCATGAGGATCCGAAAGAGAATGAGAAAGAGATACACAATGTTATTTCATTATTATTATTTCATTTTGAAAAATTCTTATGAATGATCCAGATATTTGAATTAAATTTTAATTTACCAATTATGTTATCTTTGCAAGTGGAAGAATTAAAGATTAAAAATTAAATGAGGTACCAAAATATAATTTACACGTGAGGGGTTAACATTGAGAATTCCACATATACGAGGAACTCAAAATGTGAAAAAAAGAAGAAGAAAGAATTATTATAACACAATTGACAATTGCATTGGGAAAATATAAAAAAAGGAGGTGACGTGCGAAGTTTGAGTTTTTATCCCTTTTGCAGAGTTGGTGGTGCGAGAATGTGGGTGGTGCTTTCTTCCCCCCAAAAGCAAGCGTTGATTCGCAATTCAATTGCAGAATCAGGGTGTTACCTCCAAGTCCAACCCACCCCAAATAGATCAAGAATCTCCTTCTCTCTCAAAAACTTCGCAAGTTCATCATCATTAGCAGCGAAATGCCAGCAACAGCAAAGTAGAGAACCCGTAACCAAAACCCAAGATGAGGGGATTCCCGCGGAAGAGGTGAAAATCCTAGTGAAGTTCAAGTCTCGCCACAACTACATCAGGGTTCTAGAAGTTTCTAGAAAAGCCGACCACCCATTTCGCGGTTCCCGTCTTCTCCTCCTCGACGGCCCCGGAAACATCCACAGCATATCTTTCCTCTTCAAAACCCTCACAAACACTTACTTCGACGTCTTCGCCATGCTCCCACCCATCGTCCCGCCGGGACCCTTGGCCGTCCTCGGCTTCGGCGCCGGCTCCGCCGCCCGCATCCTCCTCGACCTCTACCCGGAAGCGGTTATCCACGGCTGGGAGCTTGACCCTTCCGTTATTCAAGTTGGTAGAGAGTATTTCAACCTCTCGAGGCTCGAGAGGGAAAACCCACAGAGGCTTTTCATCTACGTTGGAAATGCCTTGAACGCGAGTATGGCAAATGGGTTCTCTGGGATTTTGGTGGATTTGTTCTCGGAAGGGAGTTTGATACCTGAGCTTCAGGAACCTGCCACGTGGGAGAAGCTCAGCAGGTGTTTGAGGAAAGGAGGGAGGATAATGGTGAATGTTGGAGGGAGTTGTGTGGTGGCGGAGAATAAGCTTAGAGATGGGAAGGTTATGATGGAAGAGACTCTGAAGGCGATGAGAGTGGTTTTTGGGGAGAAGCTTTTCGTTCTCAGTCTTGGGAATCGCAAGGACGATAGTTCCCTTGCTCTTACTGGGGATTTACCACAACCTGATCTCTGGAAGAAGGTGCTTCCAGACCCCTTGAGATATTACGTCGATTTGTGGACGCCCTATTCTGGTTAGTTCCTCGTGCTGCTTCCTCCATGCTTGCTCAGCAACTGTTTGTTTTTATTCCTCTGTGAAATCTACAGTTTCGCCTCGACCATATTTTCATTACTTGAAGAAGGAGGGAAATAGGTAAATCTCATTTTTGCGTGGAATATGATGGTTTTATACTTATTCACCACTTAACCATGCACTTGTTTAAATTTCATAAAATTTTGTAGGATTTTATGACAAGTATAATCTAAGTCAATATTAAATTCACCAAAAGATAATTCAGTCATAGCTTAAGTCGTTTGTACGTCGTTTTGTGGGGATAATAAATAACCGTGCACAATAGTCTAGTGACAAATAGTTCAGGTAAGGTTTTCTAAAATAAATTCAGGATGAGTCCCGGTTATACTATATACAGATTTGAGAATGGAAAGCTTTTTCTTTCTGGGGGCAGAAGGATGGTTTATTATAATGTAACTAACTGTAATGCAAAGCCACAATGTGAGCGATTTGAATAATTTCCATTAGCTGGTACACACAGAAATTGCAACAAATTAAACAGCAAGTAAGTGATTTGATGAAAACACACACTCGAAACCAAGTCAGAAGGTGGTTGTACGCTTACACTAACATATGTATTAAGTTATACGCTTACACTAACATATCACGCGTAGATAAGATGGTTATACGCTTACACTAACATTAGCATATGTATTAAGTGACAAATTAAAGTGGTCGATTACAAAGAAGGATATTTCTCTGTTTTTTGTTTTACAGATCCATGTTAAAAATAAATAAATAAATACTAGTTTGAGCGCTTGCCGGATATTAGAAACAAGCTACGGCTAAACTCATCTTCATCTTCATATTTACTCAATTATGATTTTATTGAGAAGTCAACTTGTGTCCTTCTGGTGCGCTTGATGAAATCATGGAATAGCTGTTGCCCCGGAACTGAAAGCCAACTTTATGATTCAAATCACTTACTTGTTGTGAGGAGTTAATCCATATATTTTAAAAGGATAAGATATTCTATCTATTTTTTTTGTAATGCCTATTTTATATATTCATCTCTAATACTAATAGATTAAAATTTTAATTAACTTTCATCATTTCTTTTTTCTCTTAAAATTTTGATCCAATAGTGTTAGAGATGAATAGTTAGAGTAGACATAAAAAAAGATAGGCTCATTATTCAATTCTTATTTTAAAAGTGCAAAATCGTATCCACCAACCTTGATTCAAGTATAGGATTAGTGGATGAGTCATGAGTCACATTTGTCAAATGATATTTCAGTATGCATATTTCGTTTTTGGAAAAATTTATGCCACATTGATTGATAATGAACTAAGTGAATTAAGAAGATCCATGAATCCAATACTTTAAGATTGTGGGTTAAGACATAATGTCAAACTTAATTATTATGATTAGTGTAGCTTAATCCATTCGCGGCGATTTTTCACCGGCTCTCCTTGCGTGTCTGACAATATGTACAAACTTTAATTTGAATTATATTAATCTATTGGTAGTGATTCTTAGCCACGGGCTTCCCTAACCTGCCTGAAAATATGTACAAACTACTATGGGTGTTAATTAAATTAGGCTAGCCCATTTTTATCCGTAAATAGTCAAATATAGTTCAAGTTAATAAATTATTATTTATTTACCAAAAAATTATTATTTACCATAACCTTATACATACACGTGTTAATAAAATGGTTTACCGATCTCGTATTTTTCATTATTTATTTATAGAATTAAATTTAAAAAAAATTAATTAATTTAACTTATTTAATAAATTTATCCTAAAAAACGTAAAATAAATTTTTACTTAAAGAAGTATATATTTATTTTAAAATAACATTTAGGTAAATTGTAAAAACGTTAATAAGTTTATTATTTTATAACTGGAATTAAGCCATACTAACACTTTTCTTTACTTTAGTTTTATTAATTTAATATATATTATTGATTATTCGAACTACATATGTAATTTATTAACTCAAATTAATATTTGATGAATTATTCCAACAGAAGGAAAATATTTATAGTGTACCGGGAGCAGCGATTTTAATTGGTCCTTTTTTAAAAAATGGAAAATTTTAGGAAAATAAATTAAAACGTAAGTGAAAGAAATGAGCAGTGAATTTTTTTTAATTTTTTTTTGTTTCAAATTTGGGTAAGGACCACCCAAACTTCTCTGGTAAAAGACGCATCGGGAACAGGAAAACGACAACAAAATGGGTGAAATTTTTTCAGAAATAGTTTAATTATTGTATTTGTAGGGAGACTGTCAAGAAAGGGGGGCACACCTTCAAAATGTTTTGCATTGCAAGACATGTTCACGTTACTCTCCGGCCTCCGTCCCGGCCCCCACAAGCTCAGCATAACGTTGGGGCCAAAGCTCCCCGTTCAAGTTAATAATTTTTTATTAAATTATTTTTTAATATTTTGTCCAAAAAATTACCGTTGCTTTCCTCCAACCCAAATGTTTTTTTGAGTAGTATTGAACCGAACCGGTTCTTTCCCTTCATGAACCAGTCACCGGTTCTGTCTACGTTCTATCCTGGGAGACAAGTGTCCATCAATCTTAGGCATCAGTGAGGGGGCAAATTGTCTTAAGGAGACACGTTCTGTGGGCTCGGTTTTTTATTAAATTATTTTTTAATATTTTGTCCAAAAAATTACCGTTGCTTCCCTCCAACCCAAACGTTTTTTTGAGCAGTATTGAACCGAACCGGTTCTTTCCCTTCATGAACCAGTCACCGGTTCTGTCTACGTTCTATCCTGGGAGACAAGTGTCCATCAACCTTAGGCATCAGTGAGGGGGCAAATTGTCTTAAGGAGACACGTTCTGCGGGCTCGGATTTAATTCCTCTACTTCTGACATATCATTCTATCTGTTCTATCATTCTGCTTGCATCATCATCTGATTTCAAGTAAGTCAGTTCTTTAATTTTAATATTTATAATTGCACAGTGATAATTCTGATCATCTACTTCCTCTGGTTCTATACATGAGTTCAATCTTTTAGTGATATAATATCACTCACACTGTCTTCAATAACAAATACTACTACTTTTTTCTTGAATAGTATACTTTTTTTTTTCTTTTCTTATCTTATCTGATTAATTGATATGCACTATGTACTATGTAGTCAATGCATGTGCAAGAAATGGAAAGTTGTTCAATTCCAATACACTGAGTGTTTGGTACAAGGTATTTTTTAAAATTTTCAGAAAATTGAAAATGATAATCATATTTACTCACATTTAGTACAAGACTTTTAAAATTTTATTGGAAATCTGATTTTCTCGAAATTTTCTTTTTGTGAGTAAATTTTTTTAAAAATACCATCCAAGAATACTATTTAGGGGTGGTATTCTAGAATTTTTATAACAAGGAAAAATTTAATACAACTAAACATAGAATTAAGAAAATTAACTCAGTATTCCCAGAAATATTTCAGTCTACTAAATAATTTTTTGTTAACATTCTTAGATAATTCATCTTCCCATCATATTCTTAGAAATCGTGATTTCCGTATAAAAAAAATTTCTCCTCTTGTCAAACACCGCGTATATTTAGTTTTCGTTGCATTATAAGATCTTCTAAGTTCTATGCAAGACTTCTAACTATTCTGCCGACCTCATGTGTCCAAATGCCCTGGATGAGGAACAGATATGTAGTGATACAGGACCATTGGTCCCCCGTAGAGAGAAAGAGGAAAAGAGAGGAGAAAGAGAGAAAAAAATAGGAGAGAGAAGGGGACCAGAGAATTTATTTCCCTAGATGAGGTTGTCGCTCTGTATTTGCAAGCTATAGAGATTCCGTTGGCCAGAGAAGCCTCTAAACGTTAACTATTTGGTAATTGATATCAATATGAATTAACATTGCTCTCATGAGCTATATATGGGGGCTATATATCTGGGGGCTATTGGCAGTGAGTTGAATGACCTTTTCCATTTTATCTTATAATTGGGCTCACAAATCAGAAGCTACTCATTGGTTGGTATATAATAGATATTTTATCAGCTAAGAGAAGTAGACGCTGCTGCTGATATCCTGTTTTAGTATGCGTAACAGATTTTATGTTCCTGCTCCACCATTGCAATGCTCTAGAGCTCTGTATTCATAAATATGAAATTTAATAGATTGATATCCTAAACTTACTTAACCAGCTGAAATTTATAACTTATATGCAGCTTTGGCTTTTTAATTAGGACATTATCATTATTATTAGTCACATTTGTATGTTCAATATTTCAAATCAAGCATTTATTTGACTTACTAAGGAAGATACTCAAACTTTGTGCTTCCTGAATCGCATTATTGTTTGTTTCTACTTGTATCCCTCGTAAAGAAATCCGCTACAGGTGAAAATATAATACATACGGTATGAGACATGTAAAACAATGTACTGCTCTGAATATTGGTATATTGCTGCTGTGGATTGATTATTTTAAGTAGGTGGTTGCGGGAGTTTTACTCGGTAGGAGCTTCTTTGAACTATGAAGACACATGGTATGTTATCAAAAGACAATGGTACTTAGTGGGTTGGGGTCATGTCCCAGGCGAGGCGTTACCCTCCAGCTTCCCACAACTTATTTTGGATTTCCCTACAAAAGTTGAGTAAAATCTACAATTTGTAAGTTTGTAAATACGGTAGACTTTGTGTTGCCATTTGAAGATTTCTTCAATTTCAAACGTATAAATTCTGCAGAGCTGCCGAAAGTCCCTGAGGAAGTTGATTTCAAAACTTGGCTACTGGTGCTTTCTGAACCTTACTTTCTAAAAGCACCATTTTTTTTCTCCTGACTGCACCATATTTGCTAGGAAATATATTTGACCTGTGTGAAAGCAATAGAAGTATTTTGGGGTCAAGAGGTTGTATATATATATATATAAGTCAGGATCCTTTGACACCAGTGTCAAATTTGAAATTTGACACCTCATCTGAGAGCTGTTAGATAAAAAAAGATCAATGACTCTGATTTGTAAGCATGTGACACCATTGATCTTTTTTGATCTAATGACTTTCAGATACGGTGTCAAATTTCAAATTTGACACTGGTATCAAAGGATCCTATCTATATATATATATATATATATATATATATATATATATATATGATCTTTTGATATCGGTGTCAAATAACAAAGTTTGACACTAAATCTTAACCGTTGATTTTCGCCAATCAACGGTTATAATTTCTGTCAATCAAACTTATTAATTAATTATTAATTTTCAAATCGTTGAATAGCGAAAATTAACACTTAGGATTCAGTGTCAAATTTCAAAATTTGACACTAGTGTCGAATGATCCTCTCTCTCTGGGTAGGATCCTTTGATACCGGTGTCAAACTTTGAAATTTGACACTAAGTATGATCAGTTATACTTAGTATAAGGTTAGTATATATATGGAAAAATTTAGATAAGGTT